AGTCTCCTCCGACATCAGTGTCACTGAATTTCCTCCCAGTCCTCTTTTTATTGTGGAATCATTGAGTTTATGCTTTAAAACAGTTTGTCAGAATCATCAGGGCTGAGAGCCCTCTCAGTATTGGTTTTGTTATTGAAGTATTTATTGTTTGAATGTATTTCTCAGTTCAACACATGTTCCTCTCATCAGCAGTGAAATGAAGCTTCTTCAGTCATGCCCCCACAAGCATTTCATTTACTCTTTACTAGTGGCCATAAAGTGATTTGCTGCGGGTGGCGAGGGCAGTTGTCGGGCTGACTGAAAGGAGGCGGAGCAGTGTGAGTAACTTGTGTGAGCTATAGCTCTGATTGGAACGGTTCAGGCCTAAACATCAACAGCGGCCCTGTGTTCTCAGCTAGCAGGGACCCACACTGCTGCCTTTGTGTCTTGCTCCCAGTCCCACCAGGATGGGTCACACTTGCTCCAAACACATGCACATTTATTCACACACAGAGTAAAGCTTCAACGCCAGTGGAGGTGGACAGTTAAAATTGAAACTAGATTAAAGCTGTGGATGCAAGATGCTGATGCAATGTGTCAGCACTGCAGGACGATAACAATTGTTTTGAGCTGTTGATTGTCAGTCTTAACACAGGACAGTGGGAAGGATCCTTTGAAATGTCTTCTTTTTATATCTGGACTTTCATCATGCTTAACTGGATAAGCTCTCTAGAGACTGTGAGCATGTAAGGAATTCGGACAGAAGAGCAGGCCGGCACATTACTTTGTCTCATTTAATTTCATCACTGCTTAAATGTGGGAGTAGATAAAGCTCTGTCACTTTTTTTCTGTTAATCTTTCTGTCAAAGAAAACTCAAATTCCTCACTAGGACCTATAATTTCCAAAAAATCAATGAGTGAACATTGTTGACTAAAGCAGATCTTCAGGTGGTTTTTGCTTGACCTTTGTTTGACAAGAAAACCTCTTGGTGTTGAGATATTTAATCTTAAGGGCAATCAATCAACAAGGTTTTTTATGTCTGATAAAAACTGTAATGCTCACACCAGACTCCTGCACACTGAATTTAAGTGAGTTATTTGTCTGGGAAATAAGAGATTACAATGCAGTATTTTTTTTTTTTACATTTGAATCAGTTTATGTGAAGGCTTGTCAACCACAATAATTTGTTTTATTCTGAAGGCCTACACCATCAAATGTATCTTACCTCTGCTCAGATAACTGTCAAATAACTTTACCAACAGCAAACTAGCGAATACATAAAAATAGATCTCATAGATAAAAATTGGTCAGTGGTGAACACGTTTCCAGAGGCTTTGCTTGCTTTTAAAAAGTACCAAAGAGTAGTAGCCTTTGAGAGCCACAAGCTAGGCACATCATAGCAGGCAAACACATTGAAAGGTGCATCAATTCACAAATATTTTTCCAAGAACATAACTCAACCACCAAAACAGGAGGACGAGGAGGCCATAACCCATTTTAATGAGAGACTGTGTATGTAGATGTGTGTTTAATCACAAGTGATGGGTCGGGTCACGGGACATATTTGAACAGGTCCAGATTTGACTTGAAGATCATTTCAGGTAACGGGTGGTTCAGATGGCTCACACTCATTAATCAGGGTATTTAGATCTCTCAACTTGTAGCTTAACACCTGGATAATTGTAACCAAGGACTAAAACCACCTGCACGATGGGAACAGAGAGATTTCCCCTGGTACAACAATGATAATTGTTTTTCATACCAAGGCGCCCCTCAGCAGCTACCTGCGCATCCTCAAACAAAGGTAGATACCCAATTACAAACTCATTTGAGTCCAAATGAAGCAGCAACCAACATCTGTGGGTCCCATGTTGTCTATAAAAACAGGCAAGAGTTATTTCCCTCATCTGCTCTCTAACAATTAAATGAATGAATCCACCAGGTACACCACTGCAGCAACACACTTTGTTTCTGATATCTTACCTGACCCTGAGGGAGCAGTGTATTCTGTCCTTTTATTAAAATGTAAGGTTTGCTTTTGTTGTGTGTGGTCATGTGGGACTTGATTAAAGTTGTTCATGTTCCTGTTTGTATTTTCTCTCGTAATGTGCAGAGGAAAGAAACAAGTGTGAATTTCAGCTGACATGATAGTGTCACTGATAACAACACTCACTGCCTGTGAATACAGTCTGTCCATCATGGGTCAGACACACCGCTCCGTCCTGCTGCAGGTGGACCCCAGTCAGTCCTGGTGGCACTGGTTCCCCAGGCACCCACCTCAAGTTGGTTCTCCCGGTCAGTAATCAGGCAATTTCCTGACTGTTCCAGGGAGATTTACATTTTCTCTGCTGCTTTATTCTATTACTATATAATATGTCTTCATGGTTATTCATCCTTCTCCTAGTGTCTTTTATTTTATCTTTCAAAGCATATAAAAAGCTTATTCTGCTACCACCCCCACTGAGATCTGATGATGACTGTATGTGTACTCAGTCATATTTCCTCCCAAAAAATGCCTGTTTCAAAGCAGATCTTTTGATGTATCATAGCAGGACAATCGCAGATGTAATTCACAATTTTATTGTTGGCTGAATTCTATTTAGCTACTTTAGGGTCTTGGTATTTTGCACACTGCCCTACTCTCACACTGAGGAAACTCGAACTCAGCAGAGCCATTGATAATGTTGTTAGTAGCACCAGTGACATTTAAATTTGTCTGCTGGGGAAAAAAAGCCACCAGGGTGTGTGTTTGTGTGTGTGAGTGTGTTTGTGTTCGTGTTCATGTGTTCATGCCGCTGCTGCAGTCCTGTTCGTTCAGTTAAGGTATTAGTAAAAACAAAGTGTGTCCAGCCCTGCAGGAATTCTGAAAACATTCTTACTAAAGTACATGTGCTTGTACAGTTAATGGCAGCCTTTTATATCAGCTATAAAATATTAAAGACAAATATTGCAGCGCAGGCCTGCACTTCCTCTGCATGTGTCTGTTGGAGTTTAGTATTCGTGCATTAAAGTTTGTCAGAGGCAGATGAGCAGAGTGTTTAGCAGGCATATCATTTGCTCCGGACAGATTCCACACGCACATGCTTGAATGCTGAGAACATCACAGTCTGCCTGGAGCTGATGTGTATTTATATTTGTGTTGTACAGTGAAAAGAGCTGCTACCTTTTTGTTAATCAAACCAGCAGTGACAAGATCTGTGCCAAACTTCACTGCTCGTTTCGAACTGTTGCTTCAGATTCACTGGACAAACTCCAAAGGGCATGTTTACTACTATCAGGAGAGCGTGTGTTTGTGTGAACTCACAAATCTAGAAAATATGCTCTCGCAGTTTGAATCCAGACATAGCAGAGGCTCCAGGGACAATGCTAAATTATTAATATCCTTTATTAGTGCTTAAACCTAAGAGGTAGTTTAATAGATTTGATGGCCTTTTGTAGTTTTAACCAGCTAAAGCAGAAGTATAAGGGTGATCAGAGAGTTTGTACCTCTGTCAAGTCTAATGCCCTATTTCACCTTTTTAAAAATAAGTTCTGTGTTAACCCATTTAACCAGGTCCACTCCGAAATTGAATGGGTGTTACCTGCCTCGGTCGATGGGATTGGCTCCAGCTCCCCCTGTGACCCTTAAGTTAAAAGGGGTTTAGATAATTAATGGATCGATGTATATTTTTCTGTAATGTTGCTAATGAAAAAATATATAAACAGATGATACATACCTTCCTTGGTAATGATTAATCGATCCATCAAGTATACTGCTTATCGTTTGGGGTTCTCAGGGAAGCTGGATTTATGTGCTGCTAAATATTTGATCTGCCCTCTAACAAATGCATTACGCACACTCCTCATTTCCCTTACAATCCCAAACATTTTTTACTTTTGTGTCTTATTTTCTAGGAGGATATGTTTACAGTTTTAGTTCATATCCAATGTATACAGTGCAGCCAGAGAGAGCATTTCTTCCCCACCTTTCCTCCTGTGTAACACTATGGTCCACAGACTGTGCAGCAGATGGACGAGCGCTTCATCACAGTTTGATTTGCAGATTTCTTGGTGGAGACAGTGGAGACTCCAGAACCATGTGGTGGATGCAAAATGGAGAACGTCACAATGCGTCTGCATGGAAACAGAAAACCGCTTTCACCCTAGTGTCCTGTCTCCGTACGCTCAGACCCCGGGCACACACATCACATTTCTGACCACATAGCACACACCTAATGACACCTTTAGGCTCTCAGATGTCCATTAAAACTGGCTTCATTTCATGGCAAAGTGTTTGTTCTGCTTGATTAACCAGTCTGAGCTCATTGACCATGGAGGAGCAGGAGCTGACAGCTGTCTATGGAAACTATCTTTGCCCATTGCTACCCGGGGGCCTCTCTGTGCATGTGCGTGCTGCCTGCTGTGTAGTAGTGTATTTTGAGGGTCATCCCAGAGAGACTTCACCCTGGGCGAGTTCGAATAGAGAGTGCACTGACAGGCACCCCTGGGTGTATGTGTCTGTATGTGTGTAGTGTTGAATTCCTTGTGGCAGATGAGCTCTCCCCGGTCGCCTCAGGCTGTAAGAACAAACATAGCACTGGATAATAAAAAAAAAAAAGGCCCCATATCCTGTCACTGCAAGGCGTTTCCATTAAAATGTTATCAACGATAAAGTGACTTGTCTTGAAAGAAGAGGAGGATAGGACGGCAGGTGGTTCTTGTTCCTTCAGAGGTTCAAAGGGTCTCAGATGTTTCCACTGTGAAGTTAAGACATTGCTTTATGGCCATTTCAACTCAGCCTACAGGCGGAAATCTTCGGGTTATAGCTGTAGAGACAGAATCCCTGTTGGTTCACGGTGAGAGGAAAGAGTAGACTGGTGCAGAATGGAAGTGAGGGATGAGGTAAGGCTGTGAGGTAAAGAGAGGGCAAACGGAGAGGGGGGAGCTCCAGATGTGAGGTGGCCAAGCTGGCTGCCTGTTTACGTTTCTTGTCTAACGGGAGCGTATTTTTAACCTCTGCTTGTTTTTGTTCTCTCTGCAGGTGCTGGCGAGTCAGGGAAGAGCACCATTGTGAAGCAGATGAAGTGAGTGACTGCTAATTGTTTTGCTTTTCCTCCCAACAGGGTCGACAAAACAATATGTATTAACAGGCATTAGTATTAACAATATATAAACATAGATGGTTTAAAAAACATTCAGCAAAAATCTCACACTGGACTCACATATATGCGTTGTGTTAACGTTTGATGGTGGGGGTGCCCGACACTTGGTGCCGGCGGGATCGTCACAACGACAAAAATCACAGTTACAACTTAGTCAGCTCTCAAGCCACTGAGCCATGCTTGCTTCATGCCTCCGTTACCACATGAAAAGAGTTCTGCTCAACTTGCATGAACCACAATGCAGTTTGGCAATGTTTACAAGGAAACAACTGAACGCTGCTCATTCAGTTGTTTCCTTGTAAACCTGATCCTTTCTGTGTGTTTGCACAACATGATGTGATACATTCATTGGCTTCCGTGTTCCAGAGAATTATCACCTATATTTAGAAATGGGTTGAAATGTAAAAAAAATTTCAACTCAACATCTGAAGAATGTGACAAAATGCACTGAAGATACTACTTATTGCTATGAATGAATGAATGAATCGTCATCTTACTTCCTGTCTTCCTGAGATAAGACACTTTGCTGTGACAGCACAAGAGACAGTCATAGTGGAGAAGACCCCTGTGTCAGATATCTGGCTTGTATTAGCTTAGATTGATTGTAATTATTATGTACAGTGTTGTCTATGTCGACTGTTTGCTTTTGTTGTTGTTCTTTCACGGAAAATGTCATGTGACACCAGACGGGAAGGAAAACAACAGATATAGAACATATGTGGGAGGGTTTATCTCAGCTCTACATCAGTTTAACAGTTAGATCAGCTGGAAACCGAAAATTGTTATTTCACACTACAGGAAATGCAAATTATTTATTTTATTCAAATTTAAAGAACTAAGGTACGTCCAGTAAATGTGGTCTTCCAATGTAGATTCCATTGGGAAACATTCTGCTCTTTCAGACACACACAGGTGAGCTGTGTCTTCCTCTGCACTGCAGCTTCTTTTGTACAGGCGTATTTCTTGATAAGTGAAATCTTCCTGCTAACTGATATGGTGACTAATGTATAGAGGTAGATGCCCCCTGACTCAGAGGCAACATGCTGGAAATAGTCCATTAGAAGTCAGTGCAGCATGAACATTATCACAAGCCCTATGGAGGTCGTCGTCAAGTCACTGTGCAGAATACAGATAAAGTATCTCAGTACTCTCAACTCCAGGATCCAGCTCTGGTTTGTTTTTAATATTTTCATTTTACTTTACATTAGGGATGCACAATATTGCATTTTTGCTGATATCCAAAGTGCCGATATCTTGAAACAAATTTTGGCCAATTGCGGATGCCAATACTAATATATGCACATATTCTCCAGCTAACATGATGTCTCTCCTGTAGCGGGATTAACATATTGATGGACATCAACCTTTATTGATGGCCCAATGGCAAATATAGACATAAAGGTTCTGCTTTTAAAGATGCATTCACTGGGGAAAAAAAGAAGACCACTTGTGTGCCGTTTTGGATTTTTAGCCTGTTTCAATTTACAGGAAACAGGCTCAGTAAACTTGAGTCATGTATACTTATCTGTATTTACTAATTCCTAGAGCCTGACTCATTCGTTGGTTGGCTGAGAGTATCAGCTCATAGACATATTAGGATCTTTGTTTGCAGATATACACCAATATTAAAATGTTTATTTTACAGTTTACATATTTGTTTTTATTTTCTTAATTTAAGTGTAATATATGCAGTTGTATTTGTGTTTTTTTATTTAGTTCAACTGTAAAATATCAAGCCTCAATTTCTTAGTCACAAGGGTTTGATCATTTCACCTAAGGAATGATTTATATCAGAGTCCTAGATCTTTACTTTAATGGATTTCCACAGTTCTTGACACCTGTGGTTTTCCTGCTATGACATTTTAAATGGCAGTCATTGAGACTGTTCACTGAAGAAAAACTCAACACCACTGTCTTACCTCAAATTACACTCAAAGACAGTTGAGTGGTTGATCTTTCTTTAGCACGACTTCTATTGTAACATGGTGAAAACTAGATTTCAGAGATACAATGCGAAGGACTTTCCCTCCTCATTTTGTCAAAAAGATAAATGCTTAAGAAACTGTGAGTGTCACAGGAAACTCAACCAGTTTCAATGAAAAAATCCCACACTTGACTATAATATATTGTGACAAAGAAAGGATGACACATGTTTTGAAGTAAAGTGACAGCCACAGGAAGCATTAATGACAGGTTTAATGACGGATATATCCAGATTTAGAGTATTGAAAATGTCTCCTGCTTGAATCAAGGCTAACAAGTTTTTAACAGAAATGTGTAGACAGTGTTGTGTAGACAGCAACATTCATCTCCTCTGGATTCCCTGGTTGAGCACAGGATGTAAGTTTCATCTAACATTGTGTTATGATCAAACAGTTTTTCCTTGAATTGTTATAACAATCTGAGAATCACACATGAAGTGTTATACATAGTCTTAAACTAGTATGATGCTGATTTCTCATATTCAAAGAGCTAGGTGTCACTATGTGTCCAACTATACACTTTTTGTATGTGCCTGTAATTATAAGTTTATATATATTTTTTAGCACTTTCTAAAACAAAGTTTGCGAAAATCACAATGAAGTCTAAGGCAGAGTGAGTGAGTAAGTGATGAAAAAAATGCGTTTGTTGTGTTTGCCTCTCTCAGCCTCTCTCCCCCTGTTGTGATTTCAGGATCATTCACGAGGATGGATACTCAGAAGATGAGTGTAAGCAGTACAGAGCGGTGGTCTACAGTAACACAATCCAGTCCATTATGGCCATCATCAAAGCCATGGCAAACCTCAAGATTGACTATGAGGAAGCTTCCAGAGCGGTAGGTCTCTAACAGTAAAGTTGACACTGAAATGCATAAACGTTAACCTTGGTCACGCTCTGAAAAAGCATGATGTGAATACCATGTCCAGCGTGTCCACAGCTATCTGTGGACACAGAAAGTCTGTCCAAGCTTAAAAGCACAATGAGAATAGTGCACATAAGTTGTCCATTAAAAACTACAATTTATTCTTACTATCAGTGAAAGATTATAAACTTGACTAAAAATCAGTGAAGTACTTAATTGTATTTTAGCCCTATTTCCACAATTCTCAACTCTCCATATTTTATCATAGTAAAATGTTTTCAGGTCCATTATTTCTGAACATTTTAAGAAACGAGGAGTATATTACCAATGTGGAAACAAACTTCTTCCTACAGTGTCACGCTTATCAGCTTTGTATCATAGATATATTTAATTTTTTAAGCTTCCTATTGTTAACACTGCAAATACATGTGTGTGTTTGTTACCCTCTTTCCTTGTCAGGATGATGCTCGCCAACTGTTTGCCCTGTCAGCCGCTGCGGAGGAGCAGGGCATCCTTCCAGATGACCTGGCCAACGTCATCCAACGACTGTGGGCCGACAGCGGCGTCCAGAGCTGCTTCACACGGGCCAGAGAGTACCAGCTCAATGACTCTGCAGCCTAGTGAGTGATTTAATAACACAAAATAACATCAAGATTTTACTGTGGATTATTGTGTCCCAACATAAAAGACTACACACAGTTGTGTTCAATGTCCCTTCATTACCTTTGGTGCTGAGTCTGCTGTGATGTAAGTTCAAACCGTGGCTTGTGATGCAGAAAGGAGCAAGAGATGTGTGAGAACAGTAAACGTTGTTTCCAACCTAATCTAATGTTGTATAAGAGAAAAATAATGATAACATAACTTGGAATTCTTAATATTTAGGGTTAGCTTCTCAATAAGTGAATTCTCTGTGTGCATTCAAAGTGTCATGTTGGAGCTAAACACATATAATCACTTGATACAACACAAACACTAGCTTATTAAAATGTTATGCAGATCTGCACTTTGCCTGCTAACTGGAGTTGAGTAAAGTCATGACACTTTACTCCACTCGAATGTAGAAAACATTCAGCCTAAAGGTTTTTCACAGAGAGGTTCAGCTTTAATATACTTTCAACTGTCTGCAGAATGTCTTTTCATTGTTGCTTTTCATCTCCTCTTCTATCTCATCCACATCTTACTCTTCTCTCTGCTTTGAATGTTTTCTCTGTGCTGGATTGTGTCTCTGTCATTTCTCACATCGGTAATATGTCAACATACTACTTTTCTCTACATCCTCACATTAGCCAGTGAGGAGAAATCCTCAGAGAGCAGCTACAGTCATTAATAGAGAGGACGTTACTGTTTTGTTTAACAGTGGCTTTTACTTTGGAGACCTGTCGGGCTGCTAATCTGCAGCAACGCGGCCGACGTCAGCCGCAGGTTGTTAATTACCTCAATTACCCTCATGTCTGAGTGCTGCATTTGTTGGCCAATCTTGTTTTTAATGCACCAGTATAATAACAGGGGGAGAAGGAGGTAATTGTGAGCAGCTGCTGATGAGAGGAGGTGAGAGCTGGTGATCACTCTGACATCAGACAGGATCGGCATCATCCACTGCTCACAAACAGCAGCAGGACTTAACTGCACTCAATGTTTAATACACAAGGTCTTTGATTATACGATGACACCTCCAGGTTGTGCTATAAACTGTGAGTCTTTCACGAATGATTACTTTCCAGTCAAGGCGGCTTTTAATTTCCAAGGGGAGTGATAATGTTCTGTTTGTTTTGGCCACTATAGTCACAACTTCACTGCCTCTCTGCTCGTGTTAAAGCCGAGGGGACCCGGTGGAAAGCAGGCGAAGCACAGTGTTCCATCACGGCTTTGTGGAACGCCGAGTCGGTCGCTATAACAGAAGAATAAATGAGCCTGGCGCTTGACTATAATCCATGTGTGAGCACAAGCTGAGAGCCAGAGAGAGGAAGGGAGAGATTGAGGGAGGAGGCACAACTCGCATTAACAGAGATCTCTCCTATCATTCTCTAGGTTTGATAGAGGGGGACATGCACTTTATACTCTGAAAATAATGAATCCCACTGACATTATTTCAGGAACCATACCTAACCTTTTCGTGTGTGTGTGTGTATAAAAAGAAATTGGATTCTCTGCATGCAACAATATTAACTGCCTATGGCTTGCGTGGTTTGTCACTACCTCTCTAGTACATGTTGACTCCAGTGGACTGAAATAAACGCGACAGGGTTTGTTGTCGATTTCCGTCGTTTTCTCACGTCTTGTTAGAGTGTAAACTGTCAAAATTCAATTAATCTTCAAGGCTTATAAAGCCGACGGCCAAATCAAGCAGAGTCGTAGTATCTAATGTGTGGAGTGGGCGACAACAGCAGCCTAAATCTCTTTCTCTCTGTGGGCAGCGGGATTATGATTAAACTGGCATGAAGTAGTGATGTGAAGGCTCTGATATCTACACTGTGTGGCTTGAGTGGGATTATACTCAGCTCCAACACTTTGTTATACAACAGACTTTTTATCCAGTTGATTATGTTGAAAATATGGTGAAAAGCTCTCATTGTCTTCGTTGGCGTCTTCTACGTGTATGGCACTGCTTTTTAATCCTGAGATTTTTTTTGGTTTTGTTTTGCATCCATCACGTGGATTTCTCTGACATTTACTAGGAGGCTGGCAGGAAAACTTCTGGAAAATGTCCGGAGCAACTGTATCAGTCATTTGTTTTCTCGCATTCAGTACTAGTGGAAAATGTCAGGAAAATCTCTGGACTTCAGTGCAGATCTGAAAACAGCTTAAATGTAAAAGTAGATAGTGATAGTGTAGACTGGTATTAAGTGATATACCAGTATAGACACACACACACACACACACCACATTTTTCTATCTTCTATATAGATTCAAAACAATACAAAATACAGTGCTGTCAGATTGAGCTGAATATCCAGAATCCTTTCTTATTGCAAGAGAACATTGTATTGTATTATTGTGTTAATATTTTACAACTGAATCATTTCCTGTGTTCTGGCTGTCCACTCCACTGTTGTGTGTCTCTAAAGCCACATTAAGTGATTTAGGTCACAGTCTTTTGCTCATAAGCATTTGAACTCTCTGCTCAGCATGGACCAGTGTTTCCATCATTGACCATATTACATAAATCTGTGGTTGTCAACAAGGATCACTAATACAATTATACACTACTACTACCAGAACAGCCCATTGCCACGCTCTCCACGTGTTTCCACTGGCAGAAGTATCAGAGGATAAGATTTTTCAAAATGAGATGGAGTGGTGATTTTTAATTAAGAGGAAACGGGGTGGCTGTGTGAACTGTCATGGAGTCAGATGTAGAGAAACAGTCTTGTGATGCTCTATGACTCGTACTCCCCGTGTAATGTGATTATAAACTGACAGTGCTGAGGCTTTGCACCTCCGTCGACCTTCCCTCACATCTTATCTCAACAACAACAACAACAACAAGCTCAGATCTGTTCCCTGTGAGAGCAGAGGACAACAGTGTTCGTTTCATATTTATGTGATTTGTTTGTGTCGTCCCATCAGTTACCTAAATGACCTGGAGAGGATAGCCAAGACAGATTACATCCCCACACAGCAAGACGTGCTGCGGACTCGGGTCAAGACCACTGGCATCGTGGAAACACATTTCACCTTCAAGGACCTGCACTTCAAGTAAGACGTCCTCTCTTCCTGGTGTTCCCATCTGATCGTGCTCAATTTCAGAAACACTACTCATGTTATTCGAGGTCCTATCGCCACATCTGCTCACACTGTGCAGCTCACACTTTAATTTCACTTACAAAAGGCTACAACCGACTAATTCACTCACTAAAATCCCCAAGTGTCCAATGACCCGATCAAGTGCTGTATAAAGTAACCAAGGTGCTTGTAGAAACCACCTTTGGTCATATGTGAAGCTGTTGTCAGACCATCATCCAGAAACTAAATGATGAGGACGAGGTCAGGCTCAGCTCAGCAGGGGGCAGCAATTATGTAATCAAGCTTCTGATCATCTGCTGAAATTCATCATCACATTTAGTTTGATGTGTTCTGACAGTTTTCTGGAACGTGTCACACGTGAGGATTTACACAATAACCGTGTTTTTAAATGCATCTCTGTGTTTCAAATTAATGTCAAACACATGTTGAAATGATTCAAATATAAAATGTTATGATAATAAAATAGCTGCCCATACTGTTGCCTTGTATTTCATTATAACAACAATACTTTACTATTTAGGAATTTTTCCATCTAAGATTATCTGAGGAAAATTAATTGGTGCGTGTCCCCATTTTTATAAATTGACTTAAGTTGTTACAAGTATATTTGGAAAGTCAATTTGTTGCGTTTACTCTAAACAGCTCATCCTGTTTCTGCAGAAGTGTAACAACAGGAACTGCTACTGCAAAGTTTTTCCAACAGGATTATAATCATCAGTAATTTTAAAAATATGTTTGGGAATACGACCTCTAATTATTTTATCCCTCTTGATGTGTTTCTCACAGTGTCAATGTTTTGTCTTTGTGTTCATGTGCTAGTAACAGTGTTTTCTTCATTGTTAAAATAAAATCTCCAGCCACACAGACACACACATATCTGATGGGCACAATAGCCATAACTAATGATTTGAAAACAGCAGAGGAAATATCCAAGATATTTATTAAAAAAAGCTTTCACTCAGACTTCACTCTAAGTTCATTCCTGAGTCAGTTGAAACGAACATGTGTGTGTGCATCTATGTGAGTCAATGTGTCGTATTAGTCTCCTAATTACGTCTGGATATATTGTATTTCTTTATTGAAGACATTAACCACATCCAACCAGCATATGTTTACCTGCAGCAGTCTTGTCAGCTCTGTGCAGCTGTGATATCCCCCCCTTGTGTAAGCAGCTCTGGATCACAGTGTAGAAGTAAACAGTCTGAAGTGTGTCACTGTTATAATGAGCTGTGCTTACTCAGCCTAAAGCTGCCCCGTCCGTGAGAGTCGAGGTTTGTCTCTAATGAACTGAATCCTCTGAAATGAAAACTGCTCAGCAGGAAGACTGAAGGGTCATGAAAAAAAGTTTCACTGATGACGCTCTCAGTATTAGATGGAGATCATGTTCAATCTGGCTGCAGCTGGATTGAGCGTCCTCATCCATCTAGGTTCCCTCCGTCTTCATGAATAAGTCACATAGGATCTGAGTGAAAAGCCAGTCGCCGCCATGCCTCAGCCTGTCTTAAGGTCGTCTGTTACCACAGCAACTGCAGTGTACTAAAATGCAAACAGATGCCAGGAAAGTGTTGAGGTCTGTACAACGAGTTTGCTGCCCAGAAGAGAGGAAGCTGCAGAGATGTATTCACAGGAAACGGGGACAGCGCACACACTTCCTTGAAGCTGTTTGGCATGGCTGTCATATTGAAAAAGTGTTTTCCTCCTGTGCATACTCCCATCCGCCCTCTCTCAATAAAACTGCGTGTGTGTGTGTGTGTGTGTGTGTCTGCAGGATGTTTGATGTTGGTGGCCAGCGGTCAGAAAGGAAGAAGTGGATCCACTGCTTCGAGGGAGTCACAGCCATCATCTTCTGTGTCGCCATGAGTGCTTACGACCTGGTCCTGGCCGAGGATGAGGAGATGGTGACTTAAGCTTCTTCTCTTTCAATTTTAAATCAATAGCTTCACAATCAGTTCCCAGTCAAGCCCAGGATAATTCTCAAGTGGGGAGGGAGGTTTGCATTTGAGCAAACTCATTTCCTTTATGTGCCCTAGTTGTGCTCTTTAGTAATCTCTTCATCTCTACATTTGTGCGCGTCCCACCCAGAACCGGATGCACGAGAGCATGAAGCTGTTTGACTCCATCTGCAACAACAAGTGGTTCACGGAGACGTCCATCATCCTCTTCCTCAACAAGAAGGATCTGTTCGAGGAGAAGATTGCCCACAGCCCTCTGACCATCTGTTTCCCTGAGTACACTGGTACTGTATCAAAGACTGGATACACAAAGAGGCCATAGCTGTCTGATTTACAAAGCTTCAGCTCATGTTTGTGTTTTTACAACCACTTCATTGATTGAAAATGCAATTTGAGAAATCTCTAATTAAACCTTAAAATATATGTTTTTTAACAAAAAAGCTAAATATTCTGTTAAACGGCTGCGATACTTAAGTTTGTTACCAGTTCTTTGTTTCTGAAATCACAATCACAGATCTTATGTCTAGTCTCTGTGCATCTCATGTATTAGAAGTATAGACTCTGTATAAAGATGGATGACATGGCTCGAATTCCTCCCATTGTACAATCATGATGCTAAATATATCCCGGGTATAGGTTCCACCATCTTGCACACTGAGATCAAGCTGACACACGTGCCAATTAAACATATACCTTTGTGATAAAAACCAACTAAGATGGCAGGAACCTTCTTTTTAATGTAATAATAATAATCGTAATAGTAATAATCTGTTTGATGTGTATTATGACTAGTTTGATCCAGGTCCCATCCACTATTATGGACAAGGTGGGATCAAGATGATATGGCTTCACTCTTGATCCACAGTCTGTGATTAGCAGCATCAAAGTGATAGAGTTAAACCTGTTTTAAAAAATGTCTGAAAACAACCTGGTTTCAAAGTTTTTAAATCTTTTGAATCATCATCACAGTTCTTGAGGATTTTGGAAATACTTGTGTTGTTTAAAATGGGGTTTTCATAGAGATACGCAAACCTGAAATGGGTCTATATAGATCCCATTTATTGTCATCGTTGTCATTCATCAGGCTCTTTTCCCCCCATTGTGTCCTCTCAGGTCCTAACAAGTACGAGGAGGCCCAGGCTTACATCCAGACCAAATTTGAAGACCTGAACAAGAAGAAGGACACCAAGGAAATCTACACCCACTTCACCTGCGCCACCGACACCAAGAACGTGCAGTTTGTGTTTGACGCCGTCACCGACGTCATCATCAAGAACAACCTGAAGGACTGTGGCCTCTTCTAATAACACATCTGAGAAAGTCAAGGTAGAAATGATTCAGACGGTGATTCAGTTCTCTTCCAAGTCACAAAATGTGTAAAATGACTGACGTGTGTGTGTATTTTTGTGTTTCATTAGATTACTTGAACAGTTCTAACAACGACGGGGGAACATACACACATCATGAATGACTGCACTGGCCAACCACGATTCCTGCTTTGATCTGCTTTTTATAAAAACACCTAAGAACTGAAAACTCGACGGGCCTCGCAGAATTTCAACAGTTGCTGATCAGTCACTCGTATCATTAACTCTTTGGGCTATGACCACAGAAAAGAATCAACATTTATTTTGTATTTTTTGTTCCTTTTTTTTCTTCCACTTTCACCTTTCAGTGATGATGTGAGGGTTCCATATTCTTTTTTCCTTTGATGAACAGTCTTTCCTGCTCTTTCCAAGAGGTGTCTCCTCTG